ATTCTGTACTTACTATTTACTTTTGCTCGAACCTTTAGTCGACTAACTGATAAACTAGTCGATTATCAGCGCAAAAAAAGGCAATGCACCCCCTCCTCCTCTTGTACTTTCAATTGGTATCGGAGCAACTCTCGCATTTTTATTTTGTTTAACAGCCTGTGTCAAAAGATCATGTCAAATCAATTAATTGTTGGAGCTCTATTCCAAGAAGGGACGTCATAGGCAAGGCCTCCGTATCTTAGTGGACAACACTTCTCACATTTGAAGGTTCGCATGAAAATCTATGTAAAATCCTATGATATCAAAATGTGGTTGTAATCAAGAAAGGAGATTATCCAATTCCAGCACCAAATCTGACAAAAAGCGGATGGACATACATCTACAAAATCCGTAGACATAGATAATTATTCTGATGAGCAAATGGCAGTGATTCAAGTAAATGCCAAGGCAAGAAATGTTCTGTACAATTCTATAAATGGAGAAGAATATGAAAAGATTTTAAATTGTGATACGGCCAAAGAAATGTAGAATAAGCTGGAAGTCACGTATAAAAGAACGAGCAAAGTCAAAGAAACAAGAATAAATCTGTTGGTCCATGACTATGAACTTTTTCAAATGAAAGAAAGTGAATCTATTGAAGAATTATTTGCTCGGTTCGGCAAAATTATTGGAGATCTGAAGGCTTCTGGAAAATCCTATTCAAGTGGTGAGCAGGTTCGAAAAATTCTAAGGAATTTGCCTACTGCCTGGCAAAGAAAAGTCGTTGCACTTGAGTCTCAAGATCTAGGCAAATTATCTTATGATGAATTAAGTTGAGATCTCATTACATTCGAGAAAACTCACCTCAAGAAATGAGGACAGGAGGAAAAGAAGAAAACAATAGCATTCAAAGCCTCCATTGAAGGATCTGAAGACGATGATGATAATGAAGCAGAAGCTTTAGAAGAAGAGATTGCAATGGTATCCAAAACTATGAATGGACTAATGAGAAGATATAGGAATACCAAAAAGGAAAAATGTCTTGCATGAGAACTAGACAGTACAATGAGCAAGATAAGAACGATGGACAATATTTTGAATATAGAAAATATGAACATTTGTAGGATGAATGTCTCGATCTCAAAAGGAAAGCCTCCCGAGGATTTCACTGGAACAAACCATTTGGAAGCTGGAGTAATGAAGATAGCTTAGAGCATGAAAAAAATGCAAATATTTGCTTCATGGCTATACTAGAAAATGATATAAACAAGTTCTCAGGTTGCTAGACTAATGAAGACATATCAGATGATGATAGCAAGGAAATAACTGATAACTGCTTCATGGACCGCGGTTAATCTAGCGAGGTAAGACCCTATAATTGTGATAGATATAATGAATTACAAGATATTCTTGATCTAACTCTAAAAGAGTCTCAAAAAATTCTAAATGAATTAAAGAGACTAAACATGGAGAAAAAAATACTAGGAACTTAAACTTGAAATCTGTGAAATCGAACGAGGTGACTTTCAGGATCAAGTTCGAGAATTACACTTGCAACTTAATGGCATGTACAAATCTACCAGTCACAGTTCTGTTGGTCAAACCAGTCGACTCAGAAGTCAACTGGAAAGAGACCTATTAGTAACGAATCTATGAATAATGGCACCACTAATAGATCCATTACTGATGAGAGATCCACTCCCTCTTGTCACTACTGTTGTAGAACTGGCCATAAGTATTCATCCTACAGATTTCGTCATGCTAATATCAAGGGATGGATATGAAAACCTAAAAATAGTCTGGATTTCCCTAGAACTAACCAAAAAGAACCCAAGCAAGTCTAGGTACCTAAAAGAAGGCAATAATCTTATTTTGCAGGAACACAACAGGAAAAGTCGAAAAGAAAAGTGGTATCTCGACAGTGTGTGTTCAATTCACATGACAGACAACAAAAGACTATTCAAGGAAGTTGCAAAAATAAATGGTGGAAATGTCAGATTCGGTGATGATTCAATAGGGAAGATTTGGTATCGGAACAATTACATTCAATAAGAATTGCGATATCACAGAAGTATATCTTATGGATGAACTTAACTACAATATGCTAAGTATAAGTCAACTATGTGACTCTGGGTACGAAGTGGAATTCAAGAAAATAGGATGCGTTATAAAAGATGAATCAGGTAAAATCATTTTTTCAGGAAAAAGGTATGGCAATGTTTATATTCTGGATTATATTGAAAATTTAGATAGTCATATTTGTCTAGCATTTATTTCTGATGACCCCTGGCTTTGGCATAAGAAACTTGGTCATGCCAGTATGCACTTGATCGAAAAACTATCTAGACATTACTTTGGTTATTGGTCTTCCAAAACTCAAATTCTCTAGGAATCATGTTTGTGATGCATGTCAACTGGGTAAGCAAACTAGAATCTATTTAAATCTAAAGACATTTTCTCTACTTCCAAGCCTTTACAGTAATTGCATATGGATCTATTTGGTCCTACTAGAATTGATAGCATATGAGAAGAATAATATGCATTTGTTATTGTTAATGATTACTCACGTTTTACATGGGTAATAATTTTGGCTCATAAAGATGAAACTCTAAAAAAAAATTGAGATTTTCTACAAAAAGGCTGAAAGAGAAAAGGGATATATCATTACTACTATACAAAGTGATCACAGTGGATAATTTGAAAGCTAATCATTTGAAGATTTATGCAATGAACAAGGTTACACTCATAAATTTTCATCACCACGATCACCTCAACAAAACGAGGTAGTTGAACATAAGAATCGAACCTTGCAAGATATGGCCAGAACAATGATCGATACTAGAATATTCTTTGCGAAATCATTTCTGGGCAGAGATAGTTGGCACGGCATGTCACATACTCAATAGATGACTCATTCGACCTATCCCGAAGAAAACTCCATATGAACTATGGAAAGGAAAATGACTAAACATTAGCTATTTTCATTGATTTGGGAGCAAATATTTTGTTCACAATAATAGTAAGGACAATCTTACAACTTGTATTAGAAATATAATATTTACATTGCATTATATAAAATAGAAGGCATTTCATAGCCTTGAATTTTTCCATCCCGTAAGGTTTGTGCGTATTTAAATATAATAATTTTTAAATTTTAATTTGAAAATACCCTTAAGTACCCTTACCGACCCCCTTAAGTAGCCTCCCCTTAGGACTGGCAGTGGTATTAGTATGGTACCTCCAAAAATTATCCCCAGTCCCCTTAAGGAACCCCCTCCTGCCTCTTACCGATACCGTCTACTTACCCAGTCTCCTTAAGTATCAAGAACCCTCCTCTTAGACATCCATATTTCTAGCCTAACCTAAGGGCCATATGAACATATAGCCTACTCTTTAAAAAATAATTACAAATTAAATATTAGTGCAACTTTAGCCACCGTCAAACTATAAAACACTGATCTGAAGATTGAACTGCCATCATCGAACTTCAGACCAGTTTGAATTGTTATAGCGCAACTTCAGACCATCAATCTAAAGATTGAACTTCTTTAGCTCAACTTTAAACCCGACAGTTAGTTTTGTATTGTCTATCATGTTCTCTTTTTTTATTTAAAATGCAGAAATAAAAATAATTGAAGAAAAACTCAAAAAGAAAGTAAAACGACATCACTCACTTTTGGAATACACAATTATGGGAAAAAAGAAATATAATATTAAGATGAGTATTCATCCCATGACGACTATACTGCTAGATAAGTAATCTTAGCAAATGTATTTTACTACCGTAATAATCATAAATGAGATATACTTCATCAGTTCGGAAAGAGCTTATAGAATCACAGTGAAGGGGTCCTTCTATTCCAATTGGAACTTGCATCTTTAATGAAGAAGAAGAGGATGAGGGG